TTAGTTTTAATTATCTATATTTTATAAAAAATTATAATTTATTATCCTTATTAAAATAAAAAATGAAAAAATAAATTTTTTTGTACTACAAGAGATGGAAAATAAAAATAATTTTAAGGTGAAAGAGTATAATTATTTTTAATAATTTTTAAATTTATGAAACAACTAACTTGGTTACAGAAGTAAGATCCAGAAATTCCAAGTTTAATGCACGTGGGGCATTGCAAATTTGCTTGAGCATTACAGCCTGCAGTTTCACATGTTCGATTAGCCATTAATTCTGACATTTCAACTAGAAACAGCTTTTTGTCTCCAAAAAATATAAGTGAATTTTAAAATATTATAGTTTAAAAATTAATAACTATAAAACCATATTTTCAATTATTTAATACGGCACACTATTTCAAAATAGAAGCAATATGTACAGAATGTTTGGGTTTTAATAAATGATAAGTTTTATCTCTGCGATATTATTAGTTATCTGTTTACATAATACCAGCTGACTACTTTCAAATAGTTCATAGTTCGATTATCTCTAGATATATACTAATTGTTATCTAAAGAGAAATTTAATGTTGATAATTTTATGAATTATTGAAAAGTGAAAGCAACGTTTAATTTTTATGTTCTTTGTTCTCTAAAAATTTTTTCCTTAACTTGTGTTGAATAATTACTTGGTAACTAATACGTGCAAAAAAATTGTTAAAAATGAGTTTATTTTTTGGACTTGGAAGGAATGTCGTGTACGGATTAAATAGCATTACAAGAAGATATTCATCTTTAAACAGCTCTGTGACCTCAAGTCCTAATAATTCTACCACTCCAAGCGAAAAAGCTTCTTTTGAAACTAGTAAATTAACATGTTTGATTTTATATTTGTAAATTATGGAAATATTGCATATCTAAATTCAACTTTTATTTAAAACAAAATTTATAGTATTATAAAAATACAATAAAGAATGATTATTAATCAATAAATGTGTTAATAGAAGCAAGTTATCCACTCACCAAGTCTAAGAAAATTCTATGTGTTTGGGCAAAGAAATATCCATCTGTGAAAGAGACACCTGATAAAATTCCGTAAATTTTTATTTAATAAATTAATTAAAAAATTATTTATTAAGTTTTTTTAATGATATTCTCTTATTTAAGTGCAAAGGTAGTCAAATAACATGTAATTAATTTTTTTGTTAATATATATTTTACTAAAATTCAGTAGCTCATAGTCTCATTTCTTTGCTGTTGTCAGAGTTAGAGGTATACTGAGAGGTACAAAAATTGTAAAAGCCTTTAAAAAAAATTTGTATTGCTCCAAATAAAGAAATTTTTTTTATACATACCCGCGGCAACATAGGCCATTGGGTAAACAATTACAATTTTGGTATTTTACAATTTATTACTAATATTTAATACATGAATTATTACGATAAATTTAATGGGATTTGTATTTTATATTTTATATTTTGATTCAGACATTCTTATAAATTTTAGAGTGGCTTCAATTACTTTAGTTACTAGTCCAAGAAACTCTAAAATATTTTTGGTAATCCAGCCTGTATTCTGCTTTCCATGAAATTGATGCGTTCTGACATTATGTGTTTAATTGTAAGTCATGTATTACAGGATTCACAGTTTGGAGGGTCTTTTTTGGTCATAAGATAACTATGGGTAATATGTTTGTGACTGTTATTGCGTTCTTTGCTGCTTCATTTGCTAGTTCATTTTCTTTAATATTTGAGTGACCTGGGATCCAGCATAATTGAATATAACATCCATTTTCTTTGGCATATTGAAAACTATTTTGTACTTTGACATTTATATCATTCGTGTTGTATGTATTTTTAATTTTATTTATTACACTAAGAGAGTCTGAAAAAATAGTTGCTTTAGGTATTTATGATTCTATTATTAAGTTAATGGCTTGAAGTATTGCACATGATTCTGCTGTAAAGATTGAACATGTATTAGGGAGTTAGAACATTTTGTTAGTATTATTCCAGATTACTGCTGCTCCTACTCCGTTTTAGTCTTTGGACGTGTCAGTATATATATTTTCTCCTGGATTGCTATGAAGAATTTGTACATAATTTTGTTTTAATGTTTTTTTTTTGTTGAATCTTTTTTATCTAATGCTAGTTCTATAATGATGTTGATTTGTTGAATCCAGGGAGGTATAGTAGACATACTAACAGGAATAATGTCAGAAATTGTAAGATTGTATTTCTCAAGTAACAATGTAATACTCTTAACTTCAGGTTTGAAATTCAATGTTGCAATAGTTGTAGCAAGTGTTGTCTCATATTTAAGTGCCATTTGATATCTCCTTAGGTTGAGGGGAGGTATTCTTGCCAGGTTCAATAAACTAGGAATAGGACTCTATCGGTATGCTCCCATGGCTAATCGAATGCCAGGATTGAAAACTGGATGTGTACCACACATCCAGTTTTCCTATCACTTTTATTTTTTTATATTCCCATATATACGCTCCATAGTATAGTTTTCATAATATTAAAGATTTGTATATTTGTATGAGTGAATTTGTTTTGGATCCCCATGTTGTGTGAAATAGCACTTTGATTAAGTTTAAACGAGGATTAATAGAATTTTTTAACTGATTAATATGGTCGACCCAAGAGAGAGTTGTGTCTAAGATTATTCCGAGAATTTTAATTTTTTTTTTTCTTTATGGGAGTTTGATTCATTTTAAGTTTAACTCCTTATTATTTGATGTTTTAGAAAATTCAATACTTTGGGATTTCAATGAAGAAAAATTAAAACCTGACTTTTTTCTACAAGTTTGTCAATTGATTTCTGTAAAAAAAAATTAATCGTTAATATTAATAATAATAAAAATAAAGAAATTACGAACAAAAAAAAAGAGTGAAAATCAAAATTATACAAAACAGATTATTCCATTCATAGTAACTCTCATTGCTCAAAAGACAATTGGGAATGCATTACCAAACAATAATTCCCTCTTGNAATGCATTACCAAAAAATAATTCCCTCTTGCTCCATGGCCAGTTGTTAGTCCTTAGTCATTGTTTAAAATAATTTCACTCTTATTACTGTCAGTTTTTATAAATAAGTTTATCAATTAATATCATTTACATGTTGTTTACACTTTTTAATTACAAGAAAATTATTTAATCTTTCAATTTTTGTGATACACTAATCTGTTAAATGAAATTGTAATTTTTTTTTATTAACTTAGGTATGTTTCTACAAATTTTTCTAAAATAATTTACTATTAATGAATTGTCTTATTAATATTTTTTTATAATTTACAATAGTTAAGACTATTATTTAAAATCTTTAAACTTTCTTTATTTTTGTAATCTAAAAACTGCTAAAATATTTAAAAGAATTGTTTTATTTTTTTCAATATTCTAAAATATTATATTTTTATTGATCTTTACCAAAAAAAAAAATTTTCTTGTATAATTAGATATATGCCCTAAATTTCAATTATCAAATAAAAAATAAAATTGTTTTTTATAGACTGGAAACATGGAGTAAAGTAAGATCTATTATAAGAATTAAAGTTGCCAATATTACAATGCTCTTAGTACTTGTTGGATGTGTTGCTATGATTGTAAGTGGAAAACGAGCTCGGGAACGTGGAGAAACAATTACAGATAGAAATCTAGAATGGCATAAAAGATATACTAAGGGTGATGAAGAGGAGATAAAAAATATTGGAGTTTTTGGAAAATAGATTATACATTTTATTACCAGATTTAAACAAAAAAATAATCATAATTTATTAGTTAATATTTTATTTATTAGTCAATCAAAATTAAGTTTTAGTACCTTGTGTAGTTTTTTTTTTGTGACAAAAATAATTATCTAAAACTTTAACAATAATTGTGTAAAAACTGAAGATCATTTATTTGTAATTTAGAATTATGATTTGCATTGTAAATAAACTTGTAAATACATTCTGGTAGTTACAATATTAGGTTGATGTAGAATATTTTTATCCATTCTAAAAAATCTTTTGCTACGCCACTGGAAGGGAATCAAAAACATACCAATCATTATTCAGATAAATTTAAGCATATTTATTTGAAGTTATCAGTAACTTTGAAAAATTTCCCTCAATCCCCGTAGTGAAGAGAAATGTACCAAAAAATTATTGTTGTCATGAAACAGGGTTGATATTTTTAGTTATCACTTGAAATAATTCTTAGAAAACCGGAAAGATAATTGAGTCATTATTATTGATAGTTCTTAAGATATTTTAATTGTCAAACATTTTTTTTTTTTAACTAATCATTAATTATTATACTATGGAGGCTTCAAAATCATACAAAATTTCCAAAATACCTGATTTTTCTGAACCTATGTCAAATTAATGTTATTATACTATACAATAAGACAAAAAAGATAAACTATCTGAGTCGGGTTTATGAATATTTTGGGTATATCATGCAATATTCAATAAAATTGAAAGATTTTGTTCTTGTCTTGTTACAAAATACTGGTTTCACTCTAGATTATTTCAAAATATAGCTTGTTGAATGTTATATAAGACTATAAAAAGAAAAACATAACAGGTACTTTACCTTTATGAATAATCATATAATTTTTGGTAGATTTGATTTATAATATGTTATAATCTAAATAATACCATTACTTCAATGCACTTAATTCTGATTGTACTAGTTTTTTATTCTTGAACTAGGATATTTTAAGGAAACTAAGACCTTTTCAGAACCTAAAAAAAGTCATATTAAATTTGAATATTACCAAAGACTGCAGAATTGGCCATGTTTATACTGGGGGCTTTAAAAAAATCATGAGTGACTAATAGGTAATATTTGAGCCTATCAATTTACCTATTTATTTATCCATTAAGTTTCGTTCTCTCATGGCCTACAGTATAATACCATTATCCTAAGAACTAATTAATTTTAACATTTAAGCTATGATTTCATTAAAATATTGGCATAATGAATATAAACAATATAATATGATAAAGATGTATTTTGGAGGAGGTGTAAACAAATTTTTTATGTATATCTCTTCTCAACTTTAACTTAATGTTTACTTCAAGACAAAATCCTAAGATAGTTGCTTATAGTTAAATATGATATATATTTTAGTAACTATACAAAATTTGAATAATAAAATATGGTAGCAATTATTTTTTACCCTTAAACTTTAAAAATCAAGTAAATATTCTTTTATTTCATCAAAAATAATTAAGAAAGTAATATAAAAATAAAATAAAATAAATTACAATAAGAATTATTTTATTATTAAAATTAAAAATAATCTATGGGTATTATATTTTTTCAATAATGTATAAACATAATATGTCCATAAGAAGTATTTCATAGCAAATAAAATTCAAAAAATTGATTAAAACTTTTATTTTTCAACAAAAATATAATAAAAACAACATTATATTTGATGCATACATTGTACCATGATTTATTGAATTAAATTTTTGTTTAAATGAGATTAAAGTTATCAATTAACTATTAAGAATTCTATACCGAGGTCAGTATTTCTGACTATCATAAACTTGTCTAACCATAATAATTTAAATATTTGCAATCAAAAATCAGATGTTAGGGTTGCATGAAAAAATTATTTTTTAACATAATTAATTTTTTGTGTGATTAAAAAAAAATACAATTTATTATTTGTAATCATTTCATAGTAAAAAATATCCATAAGCAAAAAACAAATGAGGTTGAGAGGACAATTACCCTACTTACCATACCTTAGTTACATCACTGTAAGCATAAATTGAAAAACAAATTTGGTGCTTAACTGTTTCTCAATATTAAAAAATATTTTACATAAGTGATAGATATAATTTTCTAAATTTGTTTCGTGTCTACAGCAAAAGTTTGTAGGAAGATTTAACTTCTTAACTCTTCGCAATTTATGTCTATAGTTTTTATACAAACAAGATAGTGAATTATGATAAATAATTGATAAAAGTGTGATCTTAATGACTTTCGGTTACTGGATAATGAAAATTGAACACATTCAAGTTTTAAATTGTTATAGAACTAATACCAACGCGAAGGATGTGAAGCGCAATTAATTGGGTGGTTGTATGGGCTCTTGAGGACCTTGTGAAAATAGTTAAATATTTAATTCAAATCATCAAATAGTAGCAATTAATTTAGTTAGTACTTCGCGTTTATGATTTTCATTGTAATGCATAAGTATTATAGTTAATCATTTTACAATAGATTATTTTTTTCTACAATTAAATTTAATCGAGTTGAAACAATTTTTCGGTTTTAGAGTCTTCTATTTAATTTTAAATCGACTAATAACCAAGTTCTGATTTTTATTGTATCATTGGAAGATATCTATGCCAGACGACGCCTGTTATGAACATATAGATTGTAGAGGAGATAATATTAATTTTACCTCTATCTATGTGTTTAAGAGCAATTTAAAGTTAGTGGTTAACGCGGTTGTCTAAGTTCTAACAAAATAAATCTATATCGGTCGAGGGTTGAAAACATATAAAAATAAAGAACTTGAAGTAAATAAACCAAGACAGACTATAAAAATCTGATAAAATCGAAAAAGAAAATTGCTGATGAAACCACGATTATGACGCGACTGACCATAAACATCCCAGAAACTATAAGTAATAGAAACTCTTCCGAAATACTGCAAAATTTGTTAGATTTTTTCGATGAATTTAAATGCAGAAGTGTTAATACTATAAATTATTACCTAAAAAAAGTTGAAACCTCAAAATATTCATCAACCGCTATACATGAATAAATTGTTGAGTATATTTTTACTAAACTAAAAATACCAATTAAACTTAGGATAAATCGTCTTATGTATATTTGGTTTATTTAAGAATATTTATATTTCGAGATATTATCACAACTAATTATAAGATAAATGGACGAATAACATAATAATCGTCTGCAACATCAAAAAAGAATGATTTATACAAATTTTAAGAATAAATACAAGTTTGTGACTTTATTTTTAGAAATAATAATTATTTAAATAAAAGTAAAACTACCTGTTTTTTAATTTTTTTTATGGCATATATTTATTAACTAGGATTAAGTATAAAATACTATCAATACTATAGACTTTTTTGTTGTTGAATGATGCGACAGATAGCTTATAAATTTAATAATCAATTGCTAACGACAAATAATTTATCAAAAACTTGCTTAAAAATTAAAATTCTACAAAATTCTGATTGAATGTCAACAGGTCCGGTTTAAAACCCCTGTATGGGACCCAGGGTCTATATCGCTACCATAAAAAGGCGACGAGGAAAAATAAACAGAAAAACCGTATGTTATTAATTATGACAGGTAAATAACATTTGTGATGAGTCTTTAAGCTCGTAAGGCGCCAGGGTTTGCCTCCTCCATCTTGACCTGCAAGTCAAGTTGATAGCAAAACCGAAACATTTAGATATTATTTAAATTATGAATAATGAAATTGTTTTCGTTGAAAACAGATGTGTAATTCAAACCAACAACGAATTTGTGAATGTATTAAGCATATTAGTTCCAAATCGTTTCGAATTTGCATTTTAAATTTAAATATTTCTCCGACATTGATAAAACTGAATGTGTTGCAGTCGGTCACACGAAAAAGGATCGTTGTAGACACCTGTGTAAAATATAACACGACCGGTCGATAAGTAACGATAATATTGATTCTAACCATAGTATGAAATACACCGTTACAAACTGCAACAACACTATAATATATTTAAGTCTTAAAAACGTCTAACCCGAGTAATTTTATTTCTTAGGTATCATATTTAAATTTAAACAAATTGTTTTAATTAGAGTAAATTTTTTGTTAAAGTTAACAGTAAATATCTAAAATATTGTGGAAAGTTAAGATATTTTTAAATAAACATTTTTATTACTAATTAAATACTTTAGTTTTGTTAAATTACTGAAAAACAGACAATAGATTTTATTTTTACTGAACAAGTACATTTTACATTTTTAATATTCACATTTGAATGTGGAAAATTGAAAAAGAATAATACGTGATACAAAGCTAGAAGGATTTATATAAGAGGTTTAAAAAATCGTTCGACATATAAAAGATTAGATGGAGAAAAACAATTCTACGGCATATATGAGATTATACAGGGTGACCGTTAACCATACCTTACAGTATCCTGAATAGTATAAGATAAATACAGTTTTTTTTTTCAGAAGTCATGTGTCCTACACACTTAAATCAATAGAAATAATATATAACAAAATTCTTGAAATTGTATTATTTTTAGTTTTTTAAATGTAAATATGCATGTTTAACTTGTTTATAAATAAGAAAATTATCTCATTAATAAAATGATTGGTTGACTTTTGAACCAAATTTTTGAAGTTATTAGCAATTTTATACCAGTGGCGGGAGGAATAGTGTGGTCCATAAATACCTAAAGTTAAAAATAAAGAGACTTGCTCTTTACCTCCAATCTTTTTATTAAAGTGTTATTAATTTAAAAATACTCATTCAAAAGTTGCTATGGACTAGTCATTTTTGTATTTATAAGCCAATTAAATACGTAGGTATGTTTTGATTTAAAAATCTAAAGTTGATAAAATTTTAAGGGGAATAAGGAGCTATATTACTTTTGTTGGTTTAAGTTTGTAGGACACTCATAACTTCTGAAGAGTAAAAGTAATAATAACATAATTTTATTATATGTATTTGAGGACATTGTGTGAAATATAGTTGACGAATCACACTGTATAAAATAAAATCTGTGTCATACTTTTAAAAATGGAACCAAGATTTTGAAAATGATTAACTGGCTGTCTTGCTGTTAACCAATTTTGTGTTCGCCTTAACGTAAATATTATATTGTGTTTAAGTAAACCCGGAAATTCTGTCGACTTACATATGCGCACACTAAACTAATGAGGTACTGAGTGAATAGATAAATAATTCTGACGCTTACTTTACAAGTTTCTGCTAAATATTTTACTGGAAAATCGTTTATTTTTACATCTATCATATGTATTAATAATCTTTAAAAGCATAGTTTAGCAACTATTCATAAATTTAACACATAACATAGACAACATTTTTGTAATCCATAAAATAATTAGAAGACGTAATGAAATTTATGGGGATGTATCTTTGAGTTGAATCTAAAACAATCATCTTAGGAGGTATCAAATTTTAATCGCAGAAGTGTGATTAAGTAAATAGGAATATTCTATAAACTCAAGATACTAACAATCAAGCACGTGCGAAGCATAACTTGTTATTACACTGCCAATCACGATTATAATACAGAAAACTGAAGTATACAAAGACTTCAAATACATTTTATTTTCTCAGAAAAAATAGACTTGTGTCTACGTCGTGAACTTATGTTATAAAGTATTCAATACAAACCCAAACAATTTCGTTGTAAACTGAATATAAAAAATAATAGTTATATTTATTAAAACTATTTCGTCGCCATTTTATCATATCAAAAATTAATTACTCTAAATCTCTTACCTTAGGAAGCCACATGAATAAAGAAATTATTTTATAAAAATGAAATAAAAGTAGTTAACTTTATATTTAATAGCACTTACTAATTCTTATGGTATTCTTAACAATAATTTACATTCAACAAATATAAAGAACATTTTAAAAACAATTCAAATTTAAAAAAACAATAAAGTAATCATATATTATCTAGGTTGTTTCAACAGCAATCATATTATTTTTATAAGTAATTCTTAACTCTTGTATATCTATAACAACAAGCTAAACTTTTAGTTACACGTTGAAAATTGCTGTTAAATAACAGATTTTCTTTTTTGATTCATGAATATAAAGTACGAAGTCATTCACGGCTACCATTTCTTACGTTAATAATATCATCACAAATGTTAAAAATACATAACTCTGTATTTTGTTGACTGAGTCTAAAAAAAAAACATTTAAAAAATTTTTAAAGTAATCACTTTATATATATATATATATTATATTTTTAATACATCAACAGTAGCGCAACTAGAATAGCAATTTTGGGAGTTCTAATCAATGAAAGTTGAATTTTTCTCCCCCATAAATAATATTTTTATGTAACAGTAAATATTAGTTTTTTAATTTTTGAGCTGCTATAGTATCCCCATTGTTGAGTCACTGTACATCAATAGAACTATTAGGTTGATTCAAAATTTTTTAAACTTAATAATAAATAAATATCAAATAAACTTAAGTGTATAGCTACACATATTTATAAGTAAATAATTAAAATATTGTTATACTATATATAATATAATATACAGTTTATACAAATAAGCTACATAATTACTTTTTGCTCGTGGCGATGAACTCGGTCCAATAACTTGTGCTAATTTAGGCGGTGCATTGTCAATTAGTTCAATGTCAGACCACGACTTATACAAATCAAATTGAGTTGTTTGGCATCTGATTTTAATTCGTCCGGTCGAAAAAATCATTGGGTCCGCTGTTGTGTGAAGGTATGATCTAGTTATTACTAAATCATCTGGTAGATATTCAATTACTGTTTTTATATGCACTGTTCGTATAGAATCAGCCTATTCAAAATCGAAATATATTAATACAGTGTTAATTAATTGCGATGAAACTGTGAGTTTATTATTTTTTTGCTGTTTACGAAATAAAAAAAATTTGGTTCCATACTTTTCATCAATTTGAACATATAAAAAATGTAATACTAGAGAGCATTTACTTCAGAAAAAGTCTCAATATTTTTTAGATAATTTTTTTAAAATAAAATACAATGTGAACTGAAATTTTATGGGATTATAGATTGGTAAACTAAATATTAAAAACCTCATTTTACTTAAAATAATCAAATAATAATAACAAGAGAATGTAACAATTTAATTCAACGTTATAAAATGTATACAGAAATATTTATTGAAAAACTCATTAAAAATATTTATAATTTTGGTATGTANGTTGTATAGAGAAATATTTATTGAAAAACTCATTAATAATATTTATAATTTTGGTATGTATACATTTTTCTTTTTGGTAACCACTATGGAGTTACTTGTTAACACAAATATAACTCTTATCAATAAATTATTTTTAAACAGATGAAAATTTATTTTTATATATGTTCATAGCTATAGTTAATGAATATATTTTTTAATATATATATAGAGTGTTCAGTAAGTAAGGAAACGGGTTTCTATTTTTATCATTGTTTGTAACAATTTACTTGTTTCCTTACTTACTGAACACTCTGTATAATATTTTGTTTAGGATGAAATATATTTTACTTTTATACTAGAATTTTAGGGAACGCGAGTGTAGATTTTTCCATATTTTATTATTCATAGAAGGCAGGACCTGATTAAGATCTATATGGGTCCGGGTGGTACCTTAAGATGGCTCCCTTATTGAAAATATGGCCATCATAAAAAAAGTGATGAACAAAAAAAAAATGCTGACACTAATCATGACTAGACTAATAAATGTTGGGATGAGTCCCTTAAGCTTGTGAATTCCAGGGCGTTCGCTTCCCCTTAATCTTGATAGAAGTTATCATATAAAATTTTAGTAAATTTACATTAGTCCGATTTTCTACAAATATTTCGGATAAACTTACAAGTAATTTTCTACAAAATCTTCTCTACGTTATAATTTTAATCTATAATGACTCAAGATTATAATCTTCTAATTATACTTAATATCTTTCAACATTTTGCAAATTAATTGAGAAATAATGCTATGGTGTATTTTTCTCGATATTGATTGCATAAATCTAATTTGCATAAAAATAACTATGTTTAATGATTTACTGATAAAAAATTACCGTATGATTGTTTACGAACCACGTAACATTAACGGCAGGATAGCTTTCAGTCGTAATACAACTAACATTAATGTGATCGCCAGCTGAATACTTCATTTTTTTTACTAGTAACTTTGGTGGTTGCTTTGGTTCATCTATAATATTAACGTATGTTTTATTTATAAATCTAACTACTATAATAAAAGTTATAAATTATTAAAGTAGGTTAAAATAAAAAATGTAATTTTATATAAATTATAAATTAAACATGATAAGTTTCTAAAGTTAATTCACAGGCGTGATAAGGGTAGGTAAATTATACATATTTTTATATGAAATAAAAATTAGAAAGGGGAATTAATTTCACTTGCACAAAACTTTTATTCTAGTTTTGTCAGATTGTTTATCTATTATAATTTGTATAAAACGTCAAATAATAAATAAATAATTGATCAAAACAAATTTATCAAGTAAGGAAACAGGTCAATTGTTACAAACAATGAGAACAACAGAAACTCGTTTTCTTACTTACTGAACACTATGTATGTTAAAATATTGAGACATTGCGATAATTAGAGAATTATAATTTATTAAGTGAATTGAATACGTATATCTATGAATTTTTAAATTTTAGAGATATAAAACTTTCAAATAATATTTGATTCGTTAACAGTAGAAACTTCATACCAAAAATGTAAAAAGTAGGAATAGTGTTTTAGGATAATTTATTTTTTAATAATATTATAGTTACATTTTAATATGAAATTAAAAATTAAAAATAATAATTACGTTAAATTGGAAATAAAAAAAAAATTACTTTTTCAATTGATTGACTAACTATTTTTTAATTATAAAGGAGATTTAGATAAATTTTTAACATTGAAATTTCTTAATCAACCGGATTGTTTTAAAATATTTATTTAAATATTTTAAAACATTGCATGTATCATAATAGTGTTTATAAAAAACCAATATTTTTAAAACATCTATTCTCTTAATTGAATAATCATCTCAATTATAGCTGCTATGGTTTGTGAATATTCTGTAGAACTTACTAACCTTTTTATGTATTGTATTTCTTGTAGTTTCACATTTTGACGGAAAACATGATTTGAAATAATAATACATGCCAACAAAAGGTGTATTTTAAAAATTTACATTACATTATGATTAATTTTTTAGCGAACATTGTGTTATGGGAAGCATATTTTGTATGTTCTAATGAATGAACCGAATATGTAAACGTTTTAAATTAATATAAGGATATCTTTAATATAACCGCTCAAACTTCAAAGAAGCATTGTTCTATTGAACTTCACAATTTATACTTGCACGATATAAATATTTAAATAGTTAAGAGGCGTTCACAGAGTAAGTTATGTTCAAAATTAAATTTATATAGCATAAGTATACTTTTTGCATGTTATGTCAATTCTTCGATGAAAATATTGAAGTTAAAAACACGTAAAATAGTATAGAATAATACTTAATTTTTTGCTTTTAAATTGTACTCAATAAAGTTTAAATTGACAATGACGTTTAGGTGTCTGAAACGTTGGTGATATTTTGATGCCTGGTGTTGTATACGTTGATGTAATTATAACAATAGTCACATTGTTAGTACGGACAGACAACCAGACCTATTCCAAAGGGACTTGGTTGTTATACAATGGCGCAGAGCACTTTGCCACCATTAATATTATTATTATTATTATTATAACTATTATTATTATTACCCGATTGTACCAACGCGTGATGTTGAATGATGACGGTGAAGACAGTAAATATGTATATACTCGCACTTAACAAAGATATCGTCCCAGTTTTGTGTTTTATATGATACAACAGATAAAGCCTAAAACGCTATTCATGATCTATATATGTATATACATTTCTATTACAAATACATAAAGAGAACAACAATGATATGTATAACAATTAAACATTCTGTGGAGTTTGCGGTGATGAGGTGAGGATTAATAACTTAGGNAGAGTTTGTGGTGATGAGGTGAGGATTAATAACTTAGGAATTTCCCGTCATAAGCAAAACACTCATATAATAGTGTGAACACGTTGGTTAAGTTATAAGTCGAGTAAGGGGTTTTATTTATCAAGGAAACTTGAAAACACTTACAAATAAAAAATTAACAATTTTTATAATATGTATTTACGCGTAATATAAGTTGAACTTGCCTGTTACATATGTGAGTTTAGTTTTTATGGCCGTGTGAAAATAAGGCGCATCTGCTGATACTTCGCATTTGTAAAACCCCGTCAATATTCTCCGAATATTAACAATCGTTACTTTGTTAGCATCTGATTCTTGTACCTGATGTAGAAAAATATTTTTTTTAACTTTTATAGTTATTTTATTTTTATAATATCAGTTGGTAATTGTTTCTATTATGTTTTTACCGAAAACAATTTTTCTAACGTAATTCATGGGATAATATAATACATTTTAATTTACTGTTTAATACATTTATATTTATTTCACATGACATGTATTCAATTATAATAATAATAATATGAATTTTATTCAAAATATTCTATTTTTAGTGTTAAAATAATTATGTGTTGATGCGTAATATTTATGAAAATGTAAATTACATCAGCTATTCTATTTTAAAATCAAGTCTAATAAAATTACTTTACAGAATTAAAATAAATATTTTTAATTTAAAAAATGTAATAATAAGCAAAATCTACTCTATAAAAATTTTTCGTTGCGGATTTTCTTTTAAATAATAATCAGTAAACCTAAAAGTTTTACATGGATACAGATGTGACCTTCTCAGAACACGAGTACCATTTTAAAATTAATATTGACTCTTTATGTAGAAAATTAAATAAAAAAAGGTTAGCCTACAGCATTGAGCTATCGTAACTTTTTGTTATTCTTAGCTTATAGTTTTCCTTAAAGTGAATTAATGTGTACATACATATGTATATGTTTAGTCAAAACAAGTCAGTCTACTCAGATTAATTTTAATGCTGTCGTAAAAATGCATATGTTTTGCATTTTTTTCAATTGAAGATTTTTAACAATTTATTAACCTGTTGATCATTTTCATAAATATTTACCAAGTATTAAATTACATTGTGTATATCATTTTCTAATTGCTAAATTTGTTAAATAATAAAGAGATCTCAACTAATGCTAATTATCATACTATCATTTTTAAAACAACAATAATACAGTATTATAAAATATTCAAGATGGTTCTTATGGTATTTATTTTATTAAACTATTTTTAAAAATAATTAAGTAAAAAAAGAGAGGCCAATATAAAGAATATTATTTAATAATATAAATGTCATTATTTATTTAAGATAAAACTTGTACGAAGAAATTATTTCTCTTGAAAATGTGGCTACCAAACTGTATATATTTTTAAATAACTTAACATTTCGATGTTAACCAAAAAATGTATTTTGGAAGAATTGGGAAATAATTATTGTTAATTACTAATTTTCAAATTAGAAAAAATTTAAGATTTTGTGACTGGACGATTTCCTAATAATATTTGTTGTTGTCATTATTAATTATTGTTTTGTTTATTAAAAGGTTGTTATATTACTTTATATAAAAACAGATTACAGTAAAAAATAAGTGTAAAACTATAAAAAAAATTCTAAAATATAAATAATATCTTTCGAAACGTTAAGAAAGAAATACTTCAAATCATACAGCTTACGATGATTGATTTGTAAACTACCATTCAAGTCACATTAATTGAAACTTCATTGTAAATTAAACAATTTCCAAATAAAATGTATATAACACACCACAGCGTCTGACAAAATAATTTTTTGAAGCCAAAATGTTAAAGGAAATAATTTAATTATCTTAATTCTCAATTAATTGAATATTCAAGGTATTTGAGGCCACATAAAACGTCATCATACGTTGCGCCATGCCGCCGATGATATTGAGTCCCTCTTAACAGTGTGCGGCAGCAGTATAACCACTACCACGATTGATAACGATTTCGGAACGTTATCTATCAGCCGGCCACCTGTTACTCACGCAAACATCACGGTTTTTTTGTTTTTAAGGCAAAATTTAAGTTGTTATAAAATAATTTGAATGTTTTAAGATAAAATGTTGTCTAATTCCTTTAATTTAGTTTAATTTTTTTGTATTATTGCATATTTAACCATTGATTAATTGTTTTATAGCAGTATTTTATTTGAATTTAGTTGAGTTATTGAGAAATATTGTGTGTGAAATAAATTTGAATTTAATATCATACCTGAGCAGAAAGCCGAGGGATTAACATCATTAGTTATAAGTTCAATAATTCTAGTCAAATCACTAGGGTTTTTTAGTTTTATTGTTGTATATTATTCAAAAATTATTTATTTATTATTACTCATTTGAAAGGATCTATTATTATTGTTGATTTTTATTTAGAGTTTAATTTATTAATCATTGTTATTGAATTGATATTACTGTGGGATATTTATAGAATTTAAATGAATTAATTATTGTGCCAGACAGGCAAATTGTATATTTTGATTATTATTAAGCCAAAAAGGATTTATATGCCTTTAATTATTAAAATTTTTATTATTAATTATTGTAAAATTTGATTTATTTATTTAATTTAAGGTTACACCCCTACATATATACACACTTACACACTTAAGCACTACATAGATCACTGGTTTTGCGCAGATTACTGCTCCCACCACTAATAATTCGATTACCACACNGACTGCTCCCACCACTAATAATTCGATTACCACACTACACACTAACAGGTTGGTCAACCAAGAAGGCAGATCATTGGTAAAAAGGCCTGTGGTGACCGGATGAAGTATTTCACTATTTAATACCCCCGGCCCGTATACACGATAATATTCAATAAACTCATAATGACTACTAAAAAATATAAACCTTCGTTAAAATGTCACCTAAAATCATTTATATTCGAACATTGCCAAAATTTCTACATTATAAATCGAAAAATAAATTACAAATTTTTGAGAAAAGAAATATCATCTAAAGTCTTTAAATTGATATAAATTATCATATACTTTTCAAAATACATGTATGAATGAACAATTAAAATTTTATACCATTTTAAAATTTACTTTACTTTGTTTTACAAACAAAATATTTTAGAATAATTTTCAATAATTTCCTATGGATGATTTTTAAGCTGTTGGAAAAATTTTAATTATTGTTGAAATTATCTAAATTAGTTACTTACATTTACAATAACACCGGCCATTGGAAAAACTCTGGTAGGAGGTGATTCTTTTGGCACGTACCGATAAAACTCTTGATCTCTGAGGTACCATTTTATTGAATACAAAGCTTGTTTTTCTAAATCATATGTGCAATTCAATTTTAATGTCGATCCAGATTTTACTGCATCAGGTGTATTGATTTTCAAATTTTTCACACAGGTGCAATCTAAAATAATAAAATATAAGAAATAATAATTTTTTTTGAACTTGGTTTAATTATTAAGTTTACTGTGAAATTTTTGAAAACGTTTATTAGATTATACAGAGTGATAGATTCGCAATTGACCACTAGATTTCTTTTAAAATAATTATAATTTTGATGAATATTTTTTTTGTATTATTTAGTAAAGTGTTTCTGGATTTATAAATTGTTATTAAATATTTTTTAATTTAACTTGTTATTCCTTATAAGGTAATCAACTTAAGTTTAGCTTCGACGTGAAGCTAAAAAGTATTTATTTTACTATGATGTGTTTATTATTGTTTATTTTGGATGTCAATGACACTAAATTATTTATAATTGAAGAAAATTCAATGTAAAATTACATCTTTAGAATAACCTTGGCGAGTATAGTAAGTGATAAAGTAAAAAATTGTCTTTATAATTTATTAAAACTTAATTAGAACGACTAAAATAATACTTAAAGATAAAATAATAAAAATTTTGACAATAACAAGGAATATTAACAATAAAAATAAAAGTGATAAATATGATCTTCCTTTTTTTATAAGTTATTTTGATTTTATGGTACGGTTTCAACTTTACGGTCTTGAAAACGATTATTATGTGTTAATATCACTTTTTCAGGATTTGATATTAATATTTGATTAGTATCTGGATGATAAATGAATCCTAATTCTCTATTCTTCTTTTCTATAGACCAATCAATAATTTCATTAATTGATTTATGGAGGAAATTGCATAAAGAGTTCTCCGGTTCATTTTTAATTTTATGTTTATTATATAAATTGTCCCACATTGATTCCAAATTTTCTGTGTCTACATTACAATATTGCGACATGACCACATAGACATCATTTAATATTTCTGTAAAAAACTGATTACAGTATACTAACATATTTTTATAGGAATTCGGATCATTTGGTGAAAGAGATGACTTCTTATACATTTCCGGTATTTTTTCTAAATGCATAAATATTTTGCTGAATATATAATTGTTATATTTACTTTTATACCATGGAATAGTGTGTAAGCTTTCAATAGCGTCCATAGCACCTTTCATTTTCGTTTTCATTGGAACTAAATTGTATATAGTGTCTAAAAATACTTCAGTACAAATGTGTCCATAAGTTTGGTCTTCGTCTTTTTTCTCAACATATTCCTTGCAGTGATCAATAAATTTAATGATAATGTAGAAGATTTTCTTTAAAGTATTACCATATGTACATCCAAGAAACAAAGTTGCAACACGTATAGAAATATTACAATTTTTTTTCTCGATTGGTTTCTTGAAAAACATCTCTATAGTATATGGTTTTTTAAAATAAATAACGTTTTTAAAGTCTTTCAAATCTTGCCATCTAGGGTTTTTAAAGAATTTATTTAATATATCTGCGTGTTTTTTAATGTTGTGGTAATCAGCATCTACGCACAATATTAAAACAAAAATTAAAAAGTTCATTTTAATTGTTTGATGACGTGTCATATTTTATTCACTTTATTTTTGCCTTTAATATATATTTTATAAAAACTGAACACTTGTATCACACATTTCTTATTTTTATAAATTTAGTGTTGACATTTATACGTATATTTAATTTATAATTTTTAGTTACATAAATTGTGTTTATTCTTCACACAAATTTTATTTAGGATAAATAATATTACAATGTAGAACTAAACTCAGTGTCGGAAGGGTCATGTATGGGCTAACGTACTTGAAATGCCACTGTCCTCTACTACAATCTATTGGAATTCACCATGAGAAGGGGGTTATCTGCCATTTTTTTAAAAATTGTATGGATGTTAGGGTAGCTTCGTTAGAGGCAGCAATAAGCGATCTATAATACCAAAAATTTGGCCTACAGAAATTTGTAACACTTTAACACAATTTTTATTTCGTGGAACTAAAAAATTATTAATTTTACTATGATATTATATTTTTTGTGTATATCATCACTTTTTATTAGCTCTCAGTAGACTGATTTTTTTTTAACGATACGTCCTAAGATCGTAGAAAAGTGCTTTCAAGTTGAACATATTACCCTCAACATTTGAAAAATTTTTTTTCATTTCTCGTAAATGTGAGTAATCTTCAACAAATTTATGATTTTTAAAATCGTTTAATTTCAATATTTTTTAAAATTATTAATAAAGCGTTATATTATAATTAAATTAGTTATTTTTCTTTTACTTGAGATATTTTTTTTGAAAATCTGTCCACTTATAGGGGAGATTCAAAATAGGAAGTTTTGTATGAAAAGTTAATTTTTTAACTAGTATTTTGGAAATTATGAACATTTATATACCTGATTGGGAGTAGTACAGAGTTATTGGGAAGAATAATAATTGAAATCACATTAAAAATACATAAAAATAATCTAAATAACACCTCGCCACCATTGTGTATGGTCCTAAAAAAATGCGAACCAATAAATAGTTTTAAAAGTATTTAAACAGTTTTTTTACCACAAGGTATGTTTAGAGTTTTTTCATGGGGTAATGGATATATGTTGCTATAATTTTCAGACCTCGTCTTAACACACTTAATTATTTTCATTACGAGTAGTCGAACGTCTACCCCCCAAGGCATTAGACTTAATAAATTACGTTTCGTAACACTTTGATGAGTTTATCCTGCAAAATTTTCAGGATAAAAATTGTGCGCGAGGAGTTCATAACGACTAATGTATGATCATATTTTAAGGTGACTCGATAAAAAACGTACAGCCGCCGATCTTTGGTATTGTACGTTATTTTTATAACCAGCAGGTGTACCTCTACGCGATTGCGCCTAAGAAACTCTACACGAGCCACCACGACGCGAGAGTGTATTTCATTAGCAACAGTGCATCACTATGGCCGCAATTGACATAAGGACATTCCACTAATAATACTGTATTTCAGTTGTGGCCCATTGGCCTATTCGTGGCCACATTTTGGACACCGTAAATTATCAGTGCACTAAACATTTTTGGATCGATATAAATATTTTATAACAGATTTGAAAATCTTGTACCAGCGATTTATAAGGATACATAAGAATGTATGTATGAGATCATCCGTCCGAGTATCGCGAAGAGGTCTCCTAACGTTTTTCAAGCGGCCATTAATATCATAAATAAGAAGATGCCAAAAATGACATCACCTGACGACGATTCCCATAAATTCCTGTTTAAATGTTTTAATTTTCATCGAAACTCTGTACTACTAAGTCTTAAGTCATCTTATGATGCTTTTACGTCATGCAATTCATTTATTTGTCAAAACCTTAAGATAAGTCATTGAAAATTCTCAGAATCAGTTCAATAAACCAAGTATAAAATGTCAACAAAAATAATTTAATTTCAATGGCGGTAATAATAATGTTTTGCAGACTGTAAAATTATATACGGGGTTTGTAAGGTAGTGCATATAAATTAATTAGTTTAGCATTTCTCGATTCTTAAGATTTTTGTATATAACAGTCAAGGTATTGGTTTTGAAATTATGTTTTTTCTTTTAGCAGTAATCACAAAAATGATTTGTTAAAAATATTAAAAAATAAGTTTCCTATTGAAATTATAAAGCAATACAAATAATATTTGTCTAGTTATAGCGGTTTCTTTAAATGTTACCAAGAAAAATAAGTTTTTTATCGTATTGATTTTACATCTAAATTCGTACAATGTTAATTTTCCTAGTAGAAATTGAAATGAATACATGTAAAACATGATACAATGTACCGTATAACTGAGTATACGATTTATTAGCTAACAAGCGAAATACTATTATGTGTGCAATTCATTATTTATTGCTAATAACATAAGTAGTATTGTCCAAACGACAATGGTTTGAAATAATAAACCTCAACACCGAGGTAGTCCATTGTTTTTGTCTTGTAAAGGTATGCTAAATATACATAGAACAAAGTTTGATTTATGCGTTTTTGCTGAACCGATGTATGAGTATATGAAAATAAATAGGCCCTTTTGGGTTTTGCTTCATTTACCTGGCCACTAATAATTTTTTTAATCATATTATCACCACTATCAAAATTATTCTTGCCATCACTAACCGTTGTTTTTGACTGCACATGACATCCTCCATACAGACACATCGACCGCTTAAATAAGCTTTTTTTTTTCTTTGTCGTTTAACGAAGAACGTTTTCCAATTGTATGTGTTTACTACTTGTTTTTTATTTCTAAGCCCCTTGCGCCGCATGTCCTTGACATGGGGATGAATTATTATCTCACCAATGCTATAAATTATCCTGTGCAAATATACTTCACCATCGCTTCTGAGGAGGGTGTAATAAGTGTAGTAGTGTGTGTAATTATCATAAAGTAAATCGCAAGCGTTGTTGGAATAAATAGCCTCCGGTACCACGACGCATATTGGCTAGATACGAACGAATACGATATACCTAAAGGGGAGCAGATTGTCCTTGCAGCTTCTATCTTTCTTCGTGTGTATCTCTATTATGCCGTACATTCACATAGGAGTAATTAAAAAGACTTATTGTACTGCAACTCATTACTCATTTGGCTATTGTTTCTTATAGGTAATGTATGTGTACTGTTATTCGACTCACTTTACAATTTGTATGCATTATGACGTAGAAAACGTTGTTCGAAAATTAAAAAGAATAATTTAAACCCAACAGGACATACCAATCGAAATTTTACTTTTTTTACTCACTAATTTGTAATGTATTTGATGCGTTTGCCAAAAATACTATAACTAATTTGAAATAGTTGATATGAACTGTTGATTTTATCAGTGCAACATAAAAATAACACTTTTAGAATAATAAAAGAAAAAGTGATTATTTACTTTTTCAATTCATTCAAGTTGTTTTATGCATTTGAAAACACTCATTGTCATGTTTGTTATATAAATATTTAAGGTATTCCCCTAGATATTTATTAAGTAAATTTAATATATATAATCACATGTTTATAGTATATTTCAATACGCTGGTATTTTTATACAAATTCAAT